TATATATATATATATATATATATATATATATATATATATATATATATATATAAAATAGAACAGTATTGTGGACAACAGACAACCTTTTTTTACAAAAGACAATGTATATATGAATATATTTATAATGCCATAGAAAAACAAATGCAAAAAGAACTCCACCATACTCCATTCATACATGTTTCATGAAGCTTGGGAAAGTATATGACAGGGTTTGACATAAGATTTTTATAATTTGTATAAGTATAAAATAATATTATTGGTCTATATATACATAGTAGTACAAATAACGCGTTTTTAAGAAACCGATGTCCAATGTTTTTAATGATGGAGAAGTTGTAATCTGGTAATTTGGAGTTCTATGACTTGCACGACTTGGACACACGTACGTTGTGGGGCTATATTCTCTAGTGTATAGTATTACAAACATACAGAAATGTTTGTTTTACTAACATATATCATTCGAGTAAAATGTATCTCTAAAGTTTGCCTTCTATCTATTAGATAATAATTGTTTAAGGTTGTACAATCTAATGTGACAACACGGTTAAACGTTCCATTATCTTCCACTCTTTAAAATGTTAAAAATACAAGACAGGATAATTTATGGCTTTTATATGTACATATGTGTATATCAAAAGTATGTATTTTGTGACAAGGTGTTCGACCTTGAGTTTGTTTAAATTTGGCCTTTGTCGCGGTATTATCACTAAACTACCACAAAAACAAAATGAACGGAAAGAATGCTTTTTGAGGTATGGATGACGAATTCACGTTTATCATGAACAAACAACAAAATAGCCATTACAAATATTGTTCGAAGATTTCTACTCGAATACAATCGCCTTTACATAGTATCCGTCTATGTTGATGATTAGTGTTTTTAGTCACGTAGCACTGCGATTCCAAATGCAGAGTTGTACTGTGCGTAAGTCAACGGCATAACAAAGTACTTGGGTTTTTTCAAACGATGATTTTGTAAATAACAGACACATTTTGTTTCTCATGATGCTGATCCCGATAAAATAGACCTCAGTATTTTGCCACGTTTGGCAGTGTTATAGCCCTAACATTCACTAAGACTATTTCACTACTTACCGTCTGTGGCCAACTAGTGTTCTTGTCGTTGTCGCTCCTCCCAGATAATCCCATAACCCAATGAGACTTGTCATTTCACTGCTGTGGCCTCTGTCTAATTAGTACAGAGCACGAACCTGGAAATTTGGTGATCGTGCCACTGGCACTATATTTAAGTTTGAGCAAATAAAATGTTAGAATGGACCTTCCAAAACACCCCTATGTGGTTCTGAATTGACGTATCATTTGTTTCATTATATACATAATGTGGCATGTCATGGTAACGACTTGAAATACAAGCTTGAAATAACAATTCATTAATAATGTCACTAACACTGGCAATTAACAAGAACTCTTATATAAAACACAATTGTCATAAGCGTACACAGGAGATCACTGTTGATCAATTATCGTCGTCACTCTGTTCAATAATATCATTATCAAAGTCCGTCATTGCTTTGTTCGGTTTTGGCAGTTCTCGTTTGCCAAGCTACTTCAGTAATCTGTACAGCTCATAGCACTGCAATGCTAGGTCACTGAGTCCGGTTTTTTTCAGGCATGTATAATCGATTTATTTCTGTTTTTTCTAACCCGAAATGCTGTAAGTGAATACAATTTCAAGAAACACAATTTGTTTTGAAAGTGAGGGTAGTGATTACAATAAAGCAAATCAACAGACTTATGGTGGGTTATGGATAAATGAAGGTGGTGGGTGTGTCGGCATATGTCTGTATTGATGGAGATGAACGAAGTAGAAGAGAGTGTTTCTGTATTGAAATTTGAGTAAATTGAAAATTGCGAACACCTTTCCACGTGCTTTACAAAATGTGCTGTGAACAAAACTGTATTCATCATATACATTTTAATTACCAAAACTGTTGAAATGTTTTATTTTAATGTGTCGAATTTGTTTATGAATGATTCTAAACAGCCATTGTAATTGAGTACAAATTGCAGTGCGTATTTAAAACACATTTAAAACAATTTAGTAGAAACCACATTCTTTAAAATCTTATTAAATTAGTGTATTCATTCGTCACAAAAATTTAAAACAATCTGGTAGTGTAATTAGTCGATCAGTTGTACTGAGAGATAGGAATATACAACTCATGTTCAGCCTTAGTAGGGGAAAAACAATCTGACCGCAATCTTGTTCCAATGTCATGTATTTATAAAGCTTTTGTATGAAATCAAGATAGCGAATGATCAAAATTGCTTTTTCAATATAACTAGTGTCCGCCATTATTTCATTTTCTAGAAACAATTTCAACATTTTATATGTTTGTACTAGTCTCCGTCGCCATGGGGTTTACAAGACTCTGAATTATTTGTAGTCCTAGTTTGTTACTTTTCTATTTGCTTTGAAATTATGTGTTTAAAAGTTGTAATTGTCGAAGATAGGAGTTATGATTAACCTTCAGTTCATATATACAATTCTGCCAAACAGATAATATAGCGATTTTCTTTGAATACTGGCAACACAGATTGCCAATTATTATACCGTGTTATACTGAAGATGAGTGTACAGTATTCTATGAAGTTGGTTTCTATATTTAGACTATATGAAAATATTACCCAATATTATATAGCTCCCTACGAAACAAATTTTGCATTCACTCTAAATATAAATGATATTAAATTGAATAAATCAACAGGCAATATCTGTCCAAAAGGGAAATAATAGACCATGGCCATCTCAACCACAGTCCCATATGAATTTGATCATTGACTGTCAGTCTACTATAAAAAAAATATTCATCGACTCAGAGGGATAAGATTGGAGTCTAGTGACATCAGCTCATCGCCAATTATGGCTAAGATACACTGACTATAAAATAATTCATACTCGCAATCCCGAACTCGTGCCTATACTGGGTAATTGGATCACCTCAAGCAGGAATAATCCACAGCAAGAGTTATCAGAGTCACGTGGCTGTTTGTATAGAATAAACATTGGTGTAAGCTGATCGTGTTGTTATTGTGAACGATTTGACTCTATAAATCTGTTTATAAATTTTGTATCATTCCGGTCCAGGTTCAAGTGGACTACGAACATTATTACGATATAAATTAGTTTGTGGTTTTCTATCAAATCAGAATAAAATGCCAGAAAAATATATTTCGGTGAGGACCCCTACAATAGGTAATCTAATCTGTAGTTCTTTGGCTGATCTGACAGCTTGTGTACACAGGTCAATTTAATGCCTCGAAGGGTTCCGATAAACTTCAATATCTGAACGACATTTGTGTATTCAGTTTCAACAATTTTACAAAAATAGTAATAATCTGCTGTATTATTAAGCAAATCATTTGGGTCTTTGGCTAACATTAGGCGAAAATAGGATAGTGTGATAAAATATATATATATATATATATTGGCGAGTTTTTAAAACGGGAGGGTCGTCACCTGCGCACGCTCGGGAATTGAGTCCCAAGCGACGATAACAACACACGCAAAAAAGCAAAGGCTCGTGGGTAGACGCTTGTTTGAAAACAATGACACGCTATGGCCATCTGTTTTTTATGCAGAGGTAAAACGTACATGGACAAATAACATCTTCGTGTCAATGCAGTGAAAAGACATTTAGAGAAACATAGGAAACATAGGAAGCTCTTAATGCCTCATAATTAATCTCGTCTCCGGACAAGTTATTTCAATCAATCAATCCTTACAAGTGAGGATATTTGTATTTATTCATAACATTAGTTATCGTAAATTGACTCTCGACATAGACTTCGAATTTATAGTTAACTTTATATCTACATATAATGTATATTGTTTAATCACGTACATTCTAAATTAAACAGAAATTACTTTCAAAATCAGACTCGGTAATCGATTTTCTGTCTGAGTATGTGTTCAACGGTTTGTGTCCTTTTATATAATTTAAGTTTAATTTATTACCGTATTTTATGACTGGAAACATCGAGTAGGACAGTCACAATGCACGGGACGTGCAAGTAGAGCACAAAATGAAAGTTAATGATCAACATAGAAGTAATTTATGCCTTAGCGCAGATCTCAACGTGGTTTTATGGATTAACTTAATCATGTAAGTTGTATAACCAAGCGTTTGTGAGAGAAATTATGCGCCTCTATTGTGCTTATACTTTGTGGTGACGTAACTACTGAAATGAAAGAGTTTTGTATTGTTACATCGAGGGCATTGGGTAATGTGTTTCTATTCAATCGGACT